CCTTCATCTGAGCAAGTGACCTGGCTTTGCTAGGCCTGTTTCCTCCTCACGGAGTGTTCTGAGGGCGATCCCAAAAGCTCCTCCTGAGCTGTGCAGCGCTTGTCTTCCTTCACTAAACGAGGCCCTCCAGGCAGCATGCAACGCACGACATTTGGGGTCTGGGAGATCAGCCTGCACCCCTTATTGACCGAGGAACCTGGGTGAGTTGGCTTCCACTGCCTGACCCTCGGTTTCCTGCCTGTAAAATGGGAATAAATGATCTCTACCTATTTCCAGGGCTGTTGTGAGAAAGGGCTCTCTGCAAACTGTAAAATGCTCTTTGCGGTGATACTAACCAGTTGGACGCTGGTCCAGAGCAGAGCCCAGCTCCGACCCCAAGACCCGCTCCCCGGAGATCACTACCCCTCAAGTGAGTGGTGCCGCCTCCTCAGCCTCTCTCCAAGCTCCTTTAAGTCTTTCTCCAGTGCAGAGCCGGGTGAGAGAGCAGGCTGGGTCTGCGAAGCCGGACCGGGTGCAGGGAGCTGTCCGCAGTTTGGTTCTGAACGGAGACGCAGGGGTGAACCTGCACCCCCCTGGCGTTGCAACCCGCAAAGAGAACTTTTGTCTGAGAAGTCCCCGGGGCCCCGCGGCCCGGCTGCCGGGAGTTCTCTAGAGGCCGGCTCCAGAGGCGTTGCTGGCCCTCGCAGTACAATAGAGGCAGGGTAGGCAGGCCCTGCTCAGGGGAATCCTCCCCATCTTTTTCCCACTCCCAAGCCCCACCATCCCGGGGGCGTCCTGGCTCCGAGACCGTTGTCACCACCACGCCGAATTCTGAGATGCCTTTTAAAAAATCATTAGGAGGCTAAGAATAATTACCGAACGGGATTGTAATTATGGGGTGAGGAGGCCGGCCGAGGGAGGGGGGATGAGCAGGTGGAGGCTGGGGGCGGCTCTCGGACCGGGACGGAAAATAGGTTCCTGTCTTCCTTGGAGGGAAGTGGGGCGGGAGGGAGGTAGAGATCGGCAGAGTTAGAACGGGACAGAGGCAGAGCCTGGGAAAGACGCGCCAGTGGAGGGGCAAGAGTCAGAGAGAGAAAAGGGGCTGAGCAGGCTCTGGGAGGAAAGAAAGAAAGACAAGGAAATCCAAGAGAGAGAGACGGGAACTCTGGAAGGTGAAGGAGCAAGAACCCCTCTAGAAGAGACCCCGCAGCAGAGACTAAGCCCTCAAGCTTGGGGGGGAGGGTAGTTTCGTGACCTCGGAAAACGCGTTAGCCAAGGGGAGAAGGGGGTGGCAAACGAGTCCTAGGGCCTGGCCGCCCCCTCTCTCCGAGAGTAGGCCTGGGCGATCCGCTCCCACCCCCTGAGGCGTGCCCCAGGGTCCCTGCGACCCCGCAGAGAAGAGAGAAACAGAGGAGAGAAGTGTAGGAGAAGGGCGAGACGAACCCTAGAGGAGCCCGAGTGCCGGAGGGGAGAGGGCCTGTAACCCAGAGCGAGAGGGAAAACGAGGGGGCGGGGGCGAGGGCGACCCGGCGCCGCTGGCCGCGGAAGATTTATGGCGCCGCCCGGGTTCCAAGGACGGGCTGCTCTCGTCGCTGCTGCCCGCGTCGGTAGCCGCCACAGCCGCTGCGCCCCCTGCCCTGGCGGCCCGCCGCGCCCCGGGCCATGCCTGCCATTATTAACTTCTGTTTGATTAGGGTAATTGTTCAAACTTGGGCCGGACAGTATGATTAATTATAGTTTAATTAACGTGTCCATTAAGGACACTTAATGCCACGGAGGGGTGGGAGGCGAGAGGGCGTACGGGTGCGGGCACAGAGGGAGGGAGTGCGACTGATAACTCAAATAAGGAAAGACGGAGATTGAGAGAGAGGGAGAAGATGAGACCCACTGGGATAGTGGGGGAAAGGATGGTGAAGACAGAAGGCGACAGAGAAAAGAGAGGGGTGGAGAGAAATGGAGCTCTGGGAAGAGAGAAGATGCCAGGGAGCGTCTGCAGCATCAGGGGCTAGAACCCCACCACGGGGAAACTGATTTCACAGGAGAGCTAGGGAGTAGTCTAGTGGTCAACTAGTAGTTGACCCCAGGTATCCCCAGTGATGACTTGGATCCAGCCCTGGGCTGGTTGGTGTTGGGGGGCGGGGGGGAGAGTCAAGGCCTAGGACCTCCAAACCCAGTTCCCGAGTCCACAGCTCAGTGAAGGAGGCAGGAGGTCGCCCCTCCCCAGGCTGGAGCTGTCCTGACACCTCGCATCCAAGTCTGAAGCCGTGGGGGAGTTGGTTCTGCCCCTTTCCAGCTGCCATTCCCCTGGTACCGCACATCCTGATCTCTTCTCCGGCTCCCCACCCTACTGGCTTCCCAAGGCCACTGCCTTGGCACGAAAGTACAGTACCCATCCCCTCTCCCTTTCCTTCTGAATCTTCCGTAGCCCCATTACCTGGCTTTGGTCTCGGTCCTGGCCCCTTAGCCGGGAGCGCTGAGGCCTTCCCACTTTGTTCTTGGGGGCAAACTTTGTGGCCCCAGGCCCTACCTCCCTCCTGGTCCCCTTAATGAGCTTGGGCCGCAGGTGCCGGGCGCAGGGAGCAGGTGTGTGGCCGCTTACCTGGGGCGCCCAGACCCGGGGGCTGTGGGGAGGCGGAGGGCGCGGCGCGTGGCCCGCGGACTAGCGGACCCCGGGAGGGCGCGAGTGACTGCGCGGGCGGTGGGTGTGGCGCCCCGGCTCGCAGATGTCAGGCGCGCCCGCCCCGCGCTGGCCTCGCCACTCGGGCTGTCACCGCGCCTTGCCAGCCGCCGCGCCATGCGCTCCAGGCTTCGGCCTCCACTCCGGGCTCGTCCGGGGCATCAGGGGCAAAGGCACAGGGCACAAGTCTCCCCGCCCGGGACCCTGGAGCCCCGCGCCAGTTGAGAGACGGCGCCGCGCGGGAGGGGCCAGTGGGACCGCGAGTGTGAGCGCGGGGAGCCCGGGAGCGCGGCTGTGCGCGCGCGCGGGGAGGGGCCGCGCCGTCACCCGGAGAGCCCAGCGGATCCCGGACTCCCGCCCGCCGCTCCGCCCGCCGCGCACCTCCGTTCACCGCTCGCCCGGCTCCAGCCGCCGCCGCACGGTGAGTACCCGCGCCCGGTCGCCGGCTGCCCCCGCGCCCTGTCTCTACAGCTTTTTTCGTTTAGTTCTTCCGATTTGGGTTCTTGTGGTCGTTGTTATTATTATTATACCTAAAGACTCCATCGCCTCACTCTCTGCGCTGCCTGCCTCCCGCCTCGTCGCCCTCTCCAAGCTCACCCCTCAAGCCCCACGAGCCGGCGAGGGCTCCCTGAGCCGCCCTGGCCGCTGCTCCTTGTCACTGCGCACAACCCTTTGCCCGGGCTTTCCACTCTGGCTTTCGAAATTCGGTTCCTTTCCGAATTTCGGAAAGGGTTCCCCTTCTCCTGGATCCGGGGTCCGGAGCCCCCTCCCCCATTAGGGAAAACCCCGGGGGGACTCCAGACCGTCAGTCTGGGGAGGACGCGCTCGGATCAGGGCGCTCCCTTCACTGCATGCGGGCAAGGCACACTTGCCGATTTCGGGAAACCGAGAAGACATTATCATTTCCCAGAACCGTGGCTCCCTCGCCACCTCCCTAGCCTGAGAACCCTTAAAAGGGGGGTGCGGGGCTTTTCTTGCAGAGCCCTCAGCCGAGGAGTTAGGACAGTGCTTTTGCCTCCTAAAATGTTGCAAGGGACTTCAACGCAAAAGGAGGGTCTACTAGTTTCAATTCGATCCACGGAGATAAAGATGAAAGACAGATAACAGATAAATAGCTTGATACTTGAAGAAGGTATGAAGACAGATGGGAGAAAGAGGAGCTAGCGAGGAGAGACAGACAGCTCAGAACAGATAAGACCGACAGATGCGGGGTACCTAGACAAACAGAGAGGGAGGGAGGGAGACAGACTGACAGAAGATCCCAGTCTCCTTGATGAAGCTTTTGAGCTCGGATGCCCTGTCCTGCTAGAGCTGCCCCTTTTGAAAATTGATTTGCCTTTTCTGCCGAGTTTAGAGGAGGGGCCCTTGGGGTTGGGCTGCCTGGGCCGCAGGAGCCCCTGCAGCCATGGGCCGGGTGGGAGCCTTCGGTGTCTGAGGATACATGGCTGGGCTCAGCCACCTAGGGGGCCCCAAGCATCAATCCCCGGGTCCTTCCCGCTGCTGATGTCCGCAGACGCGGCTGCCTCCCTGCCTCGGCCAGAGAGCAAAGCTCGGGACCAGCAGTAACTTTTGACCTGGAGCCTTGTGGTGGCTTCAGAGACCGGCCAGGATCCTTCTCAGCCCATATGAGTCAGGACAGCCCGGCACGAAGGATACTCAAAAAAAGAAAAAAAAGATGCTCCAAAAGAGGAAGCTCAGAACCTGGAGAGACTGCATTTGGCCTGAGTGGGAAAGGCATATCTGAAGGAGGAAAACTTAGGGAGTGGATGCCTAGAAGCAAAAGAGAAGTGGCTTCTGAGGAACTTCCTTGAGAACCTCTCCGTCCCACATGCTGACCCGGAGGGAAACCAGCTTTGGTCTGGAACGCAGCTAAAAATGCAGAAAATGTGGTTAGGAATTGCTTGACCCTGATCCCACCGATGGTTGGAAAGAAAACGGTTTATATTTCCAGCCGGAATCTTTCTGCTCAACGAACGCGAGGCTCCGGGCGTGAGAGGAAAAGCTCGTGTTTGTGGAAAGCAGTGCTGTTATCCCGGGGAGCCGGCTTGGCGCGGAGCTGGGTGCAGTGGGGGCAACCCTGAGGCTGGGCACTCACGGCGTGCTTTGGAAAGAGTCGGGTTCAGCACCACGAACAGCGGTCGCCTCTGTCTCTCCCCGCCTCCCTCACGGCCTCTAGGCCCTCCTCCTTCTCCTTGCCACCTCCCAACCACCCCCCCGCCCCGCCCCGCCCCCTGCTGTCTGGAGATGGGCAGTGACCGCCCCTCCCCCCTCCCTATTCCTCCCTGCGCTGCCCCCGCCCGCGTGCATGCGCGACTGAGCAGAGGGGCGGCCTGTCCCCGACGTCAGGGCTTCAGGACCCGGACGGGTAGGGCAGCCTGCGAGGGTGGCCGAAGACGCACGGATCTGGGCGCCAGGAAGCCTGGGTTCGGCAATGGCTTTGCTGTGTGGCCTTGGGCAAGTCACTCTCCGTCTCTGGGCCCCACTTCCTCCCCTGTCCGAAAAGAAGATCAGGTTCCTAGCTACCGGGGCATTCCTGAGGTCTCAATTACCCATACTCCTCCTCCAAACCCCGGGGGCTTTTGTTCCAGCGCCAGCACGCGTCTGAATAACAAAAGGCGCCCGTCCAGGGGGCGAATGAGCTTGGACTCCCCATTGCCAAGTTTCCCCGCGCGCCCGACTCGGCGCGCCCTGCTGGGCGGGCCCAAGCGGCGTTGGCGCTGAAAATGGCTCATCGGCTCTCTGCTTTCTCTGTTTCGCAGGAGCGGCGGCATGGAGGCTCTCACCACTCAGCTGGGGCCGGGGCGCGAGGGCAACTCCTCGCCCAACTCCAAGCAGGAGCTGCAGCCCTACTCGGGCTCCAGCGCTCTCAAACCCAACCAGGTGGGCGAGACGTCGCTGTACGGGGTGCCTATCGTGTCTCTGGTCATCGACAGTCAGGAGCGCCTATGCCTGGCGCAGATCTCCAACACCCTCCTCAAGAACTACAGCTACAATGAGATCCACAACCGCCGCGTGGCCCTGGGCATCACATGCGTGCAGTGCACACCGGTGCAACTGGAGATTCTGCGTCGGGCCGGGGCCATGCCCATCTCGTCGCGCCGCTGCGGCATGATCACCAAGCGCGAGGCCGAACGCCTTTGCAAGTCGTTCCTGGGCGAGCACAAGCCACCCAAGCTGCCCGAGAACTTCGCCTTTGATGTGGTGCACGAGTGCGCCTGGGGCTCGCGTGGCAGCTTCATCCCCGCGCGTTACAACAGCTCGCGTGCCAAGTGTATCAAGTGCGGTTACTGCAGCATGTACTTCTCGCCTAACAAGTTCATCTTCCACTCGCACCGCACACCCGACGCCAAATACACGCAGCCCGACGCAGCCAACTTTAACTCGTGGCGCCGACACCTCAAACTCAGTGACAAGTCGGCCACAGACGAACTGAGCCACGCTTGGGAGGACGTCAAGGCCATGTTCAATGGTGGCACTCGCAAGCGGACTTTCTCGCTGCAAGGAGGCGGCGGCGCTAATGGCGGGTCGGGTGGGCAGGGGAAGGGTGGTGCTGGTGGTGGCGGCGGGGGCGGCCCGGGGTGCGGCGCGGAGATGGCCCCAGGCCCGCCGCCCCACAAAAGCCTGCGTTGTGGCGAAGAAGAGGCCGCCGGGCCTCCCGGGCCGCCTCCTCCTCACGCGCAGCGGGGACTTGGTCTGGCGGCGGGAGCTGGCGGCCCCCCGGGCCCTGGAGGGCCTGGTGGCGGCGCCGGCGTACGCAGCTACCCAGTGATCCCAGTGCCCAGCAAGGGCTTTGGCCTCTTGCAGAAGCTGCCCCCGCCGCTTTTCCCTCATCCCTACGGTTTTCCCACGGCCTTCGGCCTCTGCCCCAAAAAGGACGACCCCGTGCTAGGCGCGGGCGAACCCAAGGGCGGCCCAGGCACCGGGAGCGGCGGGGGCGCGGGCACTGGCGCAGGCGCGGGCGGCCCAGGAACCGGCCACTTGCCCCCCGGTGCGGGGGCTGGCCCGGGCGGCGGCGCCATGTTCTGGGGTCACCAGCCCCCCGGAGCAGCCAAGGACGCAGCGGCCGTGGCTGCGGCGGCTGCCGCAGCCACTGTGTACCCGACGTTTCCCATGTTCTGGCCGGCGGCAGGCAGTCTCCCAGTGCCGCCCTATCCAGCCGCGCAAAGCCAAGCCAAAGCCGTGGCGGCGGCTGTAGCGGCGGCAGCGGCGGCGGCTGCGGCTGCTGCCGGTGGCGGCGGCCCCGAGCCCCTGGACGGTGCTGAGCCGACCAAGGAGGGCGGCCTGGTCGCAGAGGAGCGCTGCCCCAGCGCGCTGTCCCGCGGGCCGCTGGACGAGGAGGGCGCCGACGAGGCGCTGCCGCCCCCACTGGCCCCGCCGCCCCCGCCGCCCGCACGCAAAGGCTCCTACGTGTCGGCCTTCCGGCCTGTGGTCAAAGACGCGGAGAGCATCGCCAAGCTCTACGGTAGCGCCCGCGACGTGTACGGCGGCGGGCCAGCCCGTGGGCCCGGGCCAGGCGCAGGGTCCGGCGGCGGCTACGTGAGCCCGGACTTTCTGAGCGAGGGCAGCTCCAGCTACCACTCCGCCTCCCCCGACGTGGACACTGCGGACGAGCCCGAGGTGGACGTGGAGTCCAACCGCTTCCCCGACGACGAGGGAGCCCCGGACGAGGCCGAGCCCGGCGCAGCCGGCGCGCCCAGCACAGGAGACGGCCCTGATGGCGACCAGCAGGCAGGGCCCCTGTCTACCACCTCATCGGGCGCCGACGGCCCCACAGACTCTCCCGACGGCGGCAGCCCTCGTCCCCGGCGCCCCCCGGGTCTACCCCCAGCCAGTCGGTCTGCATTTGGGGACCTGGCGGCCGACGACATGGTGCGGAGACCGGAGAGGAGCCCGCCAAGTGGCGGCTATGAGCTGCGAGAGTCTTGCGGACCGCTCGGGGGGCCCGCACCGGCCAAGGTGAGCCCCGCGCCCGCCCCGCTGGGGGCGCCTCTTTGCTTACCCCTCGGCAGCTCTGGGATGTGGGGCAGGCCCTGGCCGGGTTGGGGACGGGAAGTTTGTTCTGAGCGGGCCTTCCAGCAGTAGGCCCCGGCTGCTCTGGATAGGCCCAGCTTCGGGAGCTCTGTGGAGCTGGGCTCCCTGGGACCCCCGACTGAGGGTTTCGGAAGATCGGGGGGTGGGGGTGGCGGGTAGGCCTGAAAAATGCGTGTGCTGTGTTTTTGTTGATGGGAGTGGGGAGGAGACAGGCAGAGACTGGCAGTCACACAGAGACAGAAAGGTAGAAGTAAAATGGGTCTGGAGGAAAGGGACCAAAATCCAGAGAAAAGCGCTCAAGATGCCGGGCCGGTAGCACGCCCTCCTGGATGGGGATGTGAGCCCCGGGGAAGACGAGCCGGTAAACAGAGGAGAGGGATGCCTCTCCACCAAGCCGCAGTACGGGGTCCCCGGAATCTTCCTCCACACGAACTCGTAGTTTTCCGAGTCTCTTCGAATTCCTGCCCTAGGAACCGCAGGGTTCGTTGGCAGGAAGCTGTCGTCGAGAAGGTGTGCGGGGCGGGAGAGGGGCTCTCTGGCTGCCGGGGCCGCGGGTTCGGGTGGGGGGTGTGCACTTGAAAGTGGGTGCGCACACCTGTACATTTCCATTCGGTCCATTAAAACACGAATCATTAGCCGGATGCGAAAGGCGTCGTTTATATCGGGGACTGGGCGCGGGCGGGAGGGAAGACGCTGAGACGGGCGAAGAGGGTGGGGGCGGCTTTCAGCTGCCCTTGGCTTGGGAGCCGCTTTGTGTTTCGGGTAATTTTCTCGAGGGCGCTAATAATTACCAGGAATCCACAACGGTGATGCGGCCTCCGAGGGCGCAAGGCTGCGGCGCGTGCGTCACGACCGCCCGAGGCGCTCGGGTCCAGCGGGCGAGCGCACCTCCGTCACCCCCTCATGTTCTCTCCTGGCCGCGGCGCAGGTCTGGGCTGCTGCGAGCCGCCGCCAAACGCCCCCCCTAACCGCCTGTCATTTCTCGGCCGCCGCAGGTGTACGCGCCCGAGCTGGAGGAGCACGTGAAGAGCGCGGCGGCGGCGCTGGGGCCCGCGGCCTCCTACCTCTGCACCCCCGAGGCCCACGGTAACGCCCCCAGCCCCCCTGCCGAGGTCCCTGGCCAGTGTGATGGGGGGACCGCGCGCAGAGGGCCGGGGCCAGAGGAGGCCTGCGAGGGAAGACGAGAGGAGGAAAGAGGCAGAGAAAATGAGAGAAAGAGGGAGAGGGAAAGAAAAACAGTGAAAGAAAAAGGAAGCTAAGCGAGGACTCCCAACGACTTACATCCGCCCTCTCCACCGCATAGATACCGCTCACGTACCCCTCAGGCACTGGGTTAAACCTTTTACAAACCACGCCTGGCGTCCTTTTCAGAACCTCTCATTTATTCAGCAAGTGTTCCCTGTGGTCAGGACGGATCGGGAACGGGTGGGGACGCATGGCCACCCCTTTGGGGACTCCTGAAGTGCCGTGGTAGCTGCAGCCCAACGCGGGGGCACGTGCGCGCGGGACCCAGTGGCTCTCAGAGAATGGATTGAGGCCCTCGGAAATCCGGGCAGGCCAGGCCGGGGAAGATGTCTCCCCCCGCAGCCGCCACCCTGAGGGTCGCCGCCTGGGCCGCGTTCTCGGTGCAGGTAGACCCGGCGGCCACGCGCGCTCGCGGTGCCCCAGTATCTGCACGCGATGTAGGTCGCTTGTCCCTGGTGGGCTCGGCTGCTCGTTTTGCTCTTTTCCAAGGGGCTGGGAAGGGGGCGTGGAGCCGGAGATGAGCAGATCGCGCGCGGGGGAGGGGGTGGCCGGCCCAAAGCCTGAGGGTGCGAGCCCAGGCGCACAGCCGGGAACCAGCGGCGTCCACGACGCTTTTAATTAGGGCTCGGGCGCCCCGACCGCGGCAGCTCTGGCCGTATCGGGGTCACGGTTTCTTTGCCTCTCCTTGAAACTCGGTTTATTGCCTTTAAGAGCCAGATAAGGAAGACAATCACTCGACTGCCGACGATTTGGAAACAAGGAAATCCTATCCAGACCAAAGGAGTATCTCCCAGCCAAGTCCCGCAAATACAGACAGAGGTGAGCCCTAGGACCTTCGCACTCCACCCCCACCCGGGAGCTGGGCCCCAGGTCGCCCAGGTTTCCACCTGCTCCAGCGGCAAGCCTAAGGGGCTGCCGTTCCTCTCTCGCGGCTGGCACATAAATATTTAAATAGTGTGGGCAAGGTTCAGGCCAGGTTTCCTGAGTTGCTTACCTCCTTGCTGGGTTTGAGGCTCTTTCGTGAGGGAAGGAGGCTTACTAGAATATGAGGAACACCATCACCCACATAAAACAGGTCAAAGGGCACTTCCTGCCCTAAGATAGCCTGTTTTCCCTGGGTCCACTCTCTTCCAGCGGGTCACTCTCTAAAATAAAGGCTGTACCCCTAAAATAATGACTTGAAAGGTGGGTAGTACTGGATGCCTGTAACTGTCTCCTCTAAAGGCAGAGCGTCTGAAATAGGTTTCCAACTTAGCACAGTTCCCAGGAAGCTCACCCCTCCCCTCCCAAGGCCTCTCCCAGGACAAAACCCCTCTTACTTGCCCTTCTATCCCAGGTGAAGATGGGCTCACCCTAGATGTCACGGGAACTCAACTAGTGGAGAAGGATATCGAGAACCTGGCCAGAGGTGAGGTTAAATCTGTGAAATGGGGGTACACTGTGCTTGGGGGCGATGGGCCCTTCTTGTAAAGGGGTGTTATTCGTGTAGGAGTGAGTGTGAGAAGAAAAGTCTCTTGGGGAATCAGTCTTCATTGAGCCAAAGGGATAATTCCCTGGACACATTATCCTGGCACAGAGGTCGGGGTCGGGGGTGGGAAGTGGAAGAGTGAAGTGAGCAGGGGGAGGGAAGCAGCCACCCCAGAGTTCCCAAGGCCGGGCCTGTCTGAATAACCCAGTGAGAAAGAAAGATGAGTAATGATCCTTAGAACTTGATGCATGTGGACAGTCAGACAGGGCAATCTGGGTCTCTCAGCCTCCTCTGAATAGCAAGATTTTGAGGACGCATTTACTTTAGGAATGTCTCAGAGGGTTTTTTTTTTTTCCCGCCTGGAGTTAATGCATAACCAACTCCACCCCACCCTAAATAAGGTGAGGATGGACCTTGTTTGTGGAATGGGGTCCTGGGGTTGCTGCTCCACTGCAAAAGGAAGAGTGTGACTTGAGGCACAGAGAAAGGAGCTTCTAACCCACTTTGCTTCTCTGTCTCCCATTTTTGTGTTTTCTGAGCACCTGCTAGGGGAGGATTTCTCAGAGAGCCTCCCCATGTGGAGGACCAGATACCAATAGCTCCGTGGTCAGGGCAGCCCCCTGCCACTCCTTTGGAGCTGCTTTTGAGGGCACCAACAGGCCTTTCCACACCCAATTGCTTCTCCCTGCCCCCACCCAGCTCAGGGTTGGGCTTGGAAATTGGTGTGGGGAGGGAGAGAAGCACTGGTGGTCTTCCGCTCTTCCTAGTTACAGATTTTACAGGCTCTGTGATTACCTTCAAAATCCTTGGTGCTTCTTATGAGCGCTCTTAACGTGAATTTGGGGTCTTGGGACCTCTTGAAATTGTAAACAAACTGTTGTGAATATATGTATTTTTCCAGGGCAGAGGTCCAAGGCTTTGACCAGATTCTCCCTGGTCTGTATCATTGAAGGGAGGGATTAAGTCTGTCAATTGAAGGGGTAAACCGCATCTTCCTAGGCCAACCTCTAAGCTTAGGGAGTTAGGGACAACTTAAAGCAGAAACCATGCTGGTTGGCACCTGGGGCCAGGGCCAAGAAGTCCAACATGCATTCTACTATCCTGAATTTGATTCTCCTGGGCAACCTAATCCCCTAACCCCATTTCTTGCCCAAATCCTTTGGGTGCAGATGGAAAAACTGAGTGTTGAGGGCCTCTACCATCCGGTCGTGCCCTCCCCTACTCCCATCTCAGGGGAACCGGCCAGGGGAGGACCTGGGTACCTTATGGGCCTCCTGAGTCCCGCCATCCTCTTCCTTTACCTCCCACTCTTGCCCCTTCACAGACGAATTGCAAAAACTGCTCCTGGAGCAAATGGAGCTCCGCAAGAAGCTGGAGCGAGAATTTCAGAGTCTCAAAGGTACCCCATCCAGACCCACCCCACCTCATCACCAGAGCCTTCTTCCCGCAAGCTCCAGGCTGAGCCCGGGACCCCAGTGCAAGTAGCTGCCGCTCCGCACGAGGCCGGAGCCACAGAACCCTCCTTTTCTGGGGGTTCCCACTAGGCCAAAGACGGAGGGGGTGGGGTGCGGCTGGGGAGTGGAGAAAGTCGGCCGAGGGAGGGGGCTGTGCGTAACAGCTCTCACTTAATCAATTTGCACAGATAATTTTCAGGATCAAATGAAGAGGGAATTGGCTTATCGAGAAGAAATGGTGCAACAGCTGCAAATTGTCAGAGGTAAGACGGGAGTCAGGTGAGCGCGTGCACGGGCCGTAACTGCCTCTCGTCTGGCGGGAGCCGCAATGTTGGCTCAGTCATTTGGATTTAAATTGAAGGTAACTTAACAATTATTTTTTTTATTTAATATCCTTTGTATACTCTGATTAGCCTCAGAATGGCAAGCGAGCCCAGCAAACGGCTTGCAGGCATCATTACATGGAGTGATTGAACTTCTTATCGCGGCAATTTCCATGGTTTCTAAATTAAAAATCGAGGCGTAAAATTACCTGGGAAGTAATGCCTAAGTTTGCTTTAATTTTGGTTAGATCCGTCTGCCTTTAAGCGCCATCCCAGGCCATTTCCTCCCTCTGCCAAGCTGCAGTTTGGAGCTTTGACGCCCCCTCCCTCAGTCTCTGGGACTTGTTTCTGCCAGGGGCTGAGCGCTGAGAAGAGGGTGAGGCCCGGGCTGTGACCCCAGCGGGCCCTAAGGTGGTCTCATTTGGTCACCGGCTACTTCCTATGTCTTCCAGATACTCTGTGTAACGAACTTGACCAAGAGAGGAAGGCGCGCTATGCCATCCAGCAGAAATTAAAAGGTGAGGAAGCCGGGGAAAGAAGGAGGGGTGCCAGGCGCTGGCTGTGCAGGCGAATGAGTGAATGAATGAATGAACGAATGAATGAATGAATGGCAGTGCCAGTGAGAGGGGAAGGCCAGGTCTACATAGATCAGTAGCTGAGAAGAGGGAACTGGAAATTGATTTTAATGGAGAAATGATGCTAGAATGTTGGGATAGGGAGAAAGAGCCCCTTGAGCTCTGAGCATTGGGAAATCTGCCACCGGGTCCAAATCTGGTTTGGGGCCGATCGACCTCCCTCTTACTGTGCCTCAGTTTCCTCTTCTGTAAAATGGGCCAATTGAACTAGAGCAGTGGTTCTGGATAGCCAGGATCTCTCTACTACCCTCTCACCTTCTGATGCTCTCGCTTGAGAACCCCTGAGCCTGAAGGGGGTGGGTGAGACCCGGGCGGACAGAGGAGGGAGGGAGCCCGTGGGCCGCGCAGGCCTGGCGAGGCGCCCAACATTGCCCAATCGACTGTCTCTCCAGAAGCTCACGACGCCCTGCACCACTTCTCCTGCAAGATGCTGACGCCCCGGCACTGCACTGGCAACTGCTCCTTCAAGCCCCCGCTGTTGCCCTAGGGCCGGCCCGGCCGCGCCCACGCGCCCTCAAGCCATGCTGCTCTCTTCTTGTAAATACCCGCGGCCGCGGCGGCCTAAGGCGAGATACAAGCCATTCGGACTGGACCGATGTAAATACAGCCTCCCGCCCGCCCGCTCTCCTCCCGGGCGCCTCGGCCTTGCCCGCCCCCTCCCGGGCGCCCCCGCCCAGGACCCCGTCTCCGTTTCCAACTGTAAATACCACCTCGCCCCACGGTTGAACTCCTGGGCATCGGACCTCATGGGGTTAACCGGACCGAAGGGGGTAAGAAAGGGGAGGGGGCCTCTCCCCCCTGTACAGCCTCGGAACCCCAATTGTGAATACAATGTAGGAACTTCGCTGGCCCCGCGCTCCCCGTCCCGTCCACTTCTGAAAGTCTTGTTCCTAATGACAAAGTGGCTATGTGCAATGGATATAAATGTACTGTGAGTCTCTCGGTTCAGTATTGGGTTCACTTTAACTTATTTATGCTGTAAGTTATTTGCTTCCTTCTCCTGGACCTACTTCCGGTCCCGTTTTGCATTCACTCTTGGGTTTTGCTTTGTCTATTTTTTTGTTGTAACCTCTTGATGTAACAGCACTTTAAAAAGGGCGACAACTGCAACTGACTCACGAGAGGGAGACCACCTTGAGCCTGATTGGGGAGACCACCCTGTATCCGTGACTTTTGTTTTGTTTTTAATAAAAAAAAAATCTGTTACTTCCCGGGGCTGTGGAGGTGGGTGGGCGGCGGGGGGAGGGGCGGGGGAGACGGGCGCAACAGGTGGTGCGTGGGGACCACAGCGCGGGCTCTGGGGCGCCCGGGCTGAGACCCGCATTTTCTCAGGTGGGCAGCAGCAAGCATCCCGATCTCTCCACCAGTCCTTTAGGCACCCCCAGCTTGCCCCAAAGGCCACCCCCGCCCCGCTCCCTTGGGCCTCGGCGGAGAATGAGAACTACTGCAAGGTCTCTGACTCTTCCCTCCAGCGCTCGCAGGGGCCGAGAGTTTACTCGTGCCCATTTCCACGTCTGCCCTACCGGAGAAGCCACCTCCGGGGCGCTCAGAGACCGAATCGGGCCCTGCCGGGAATCCCAGGTTCAACCAGAACTGCCAGGAGGCGTGGGTACTGTCCGCCAGGCCCTGGAGCTTTGGGGCGGGGCGGGGCGGGGGCGAGGTAAGAGTGGTGGGCCTGGGCCCGGCAGGCCTGGAAAGGACGCGGGGGACTCGCAGCTTGTGCGCAGATGCGCTCCCGCCTGCCTCGCCGCTAGCTGAACGGAGGGAGCCCTGGCGGTTTTTGACGTTCCGTCCATTTTAGTCCCACCGGGTTTGCGGACGTCGAGGAGCCCAAGGAGGAAGGTGAGATACGCCGGCCGCTGGAATCCGGGGGGGACGGCCGCGGTTGCCGAGGCCTTACCTCGCCACGTGCCTCCCCCTTCGGCCTCAGTTTCCACAGGGCACCCGCTTCTTGGGCTACAGATAAATGATGGAAACGGCAACGCGCTTTTTGGAGGGGGAGGAGAGTGTGGGAAAGCGCACGGTCCCGGGAATCATTTGGTATCAAATTTCCCCTCCTTACCTGACTAGCAGAGGTGCCGTGTCTTGCCCGTAAGTCTTCCTAGGCCTCTTCTCGGCCTCTAAAATAATATTCAGGCCTCCGTCCCCGGCGGCTCGTGGACGCGCTCTGGGAGGAAGCAAGCGCAGGGCATCACTCCGCAGCCTGGACCCGCGCGCCCCGACGACCCTGCCCTCCGATACCCCAGGACTCTCACTGCGCGTCCCCGGGCGGCCCGGCAGAGACCCTGGAGGCGGGCGTTCTGTGCCCAGCCGCCGGGCAAGCAGCAGGGGCCCGGGAGCCCTCGGCTGCGCCTGTGGGGAAGTTTCGTGGCGGGTCGTCCGGGGGGCCCGGGGCGGAGCTGGCGAGCAGGGGCGCGCTCGGGGCCTCCGGGAAGGGGCACAGGCGGGGAGACCCGCCGCGCGATTGAGGCAGGAAGACAGGCCCCCGAGCACCCTGCGCTGGGGCTCGGAGCCCTCGTGTCCCAGGTTATTCCGAGGGCTAGACCCAGAGGGGACTGAGAAAATGGCCGGGTAAACTGTGAGGTGTCGCTGACGGATGAACTCGCCTCGGACGCGCGATCTCCCGAAAGGGACCCTCCAGGGAGCGGGAACTTTTCCTATGGGTGGAACCAACCAGATCAGTCCTTCACTTTACCAAAGGTGAAACTGAGGTCCAGAGAGAGACATGCGTCCCTAGGGAGTGCCAGGGACGAGCGGAGCTAGGACCCGGCGGGGAGCGCGGGTTGGGAGAGTAAAGCGCCTTTCTCCGCTGGGCGGAACCGCTTCTTAGGAACTGGCACTTTCTCTGTAAAATGGGATCAACAGTTACTATCCAGGCAGGAAGTTACTGCGTCGCCGCGGCCCACACAGAGGATGCTGGCAAACATTCATTTTCACCTTTCCTTTTCTAATTCCACAAAGTGGGGAAAAGAGCTGTAGGCAGCTGGGGCCAGGCGGACCCACCTGGACCAGAATCTCTTTGGATTGGAAGTGTAGGCGGATGCGACCCAGAAAGCTCTCGCAAAAACCCTCCTGGGCTCCGACTCCTCTCAGAAGTTGTTTGTACCCCTCAAATGTTAATAACCAAACGATTGGTATGGATGTAATTATCAATAATTATACGAATTATTGCTGATTGCGGGGCTCGTAGCTACTTTAATTAGTTTACCAGATTCTAATTAAGTTAAATGAAACATTAATAGGGAAAATATGCTTTGAAAAAAAAACCCAGGATTTTTAGTCTTTTCATCGCCACAACGTTGCCACCTTGCGACACATTTTAGGCATTACAGCCAGCGTCCGAAGACCCCAGACTAGGGAGCCTTGTCTTAGGGAGAAAAAGTGGGGCTTGGGGAATGGGGAGCTGGCTGTTCTTCCGTGGTGTTTGTTCCTAACCTCGGCTCCCGGTGGTACCCAAGGAGGTCGGGCTCTGGAGTCCGAGGTCTGGGGGTGAAGAACGAGGTAAACATGCCTCTTCAACCTCCCACTCCTTTTTCAGCAGAGGAAGGCTCTGGGGAGGCTTGTTGGGGCAGGTGATGTCTATCTTCACCTGTCCCAGCAAATCCAGGGTGATAAACTGAGTGAAGCTGGAGGAGCAGATGGAAACAGCGCCAAGCTGCTTGCTTTTTCACTCACCTGGGAGAAACCAGTAGGTCGATGCCCACCTTCGTTTCCTCTGCGGTTCAGTGTAATGTGTAGGCAAGAAACACCTGGAAGATCTCTGGATTCCTGGGAGTAACCTCTGTGTTCCTGTGGCACTTGGTTAATGAAGCTAATAGAGTGCCCACCTCCCTGAGTTATCCTTGGTGTTTCCATTTCTCATAGGCTGTAAGTGCCTTGGCAATCGGGGCCACATCTTGCCCTTCCTTGTAACCTCCAACACAGGGCCCAAAGCATCGCAGGTACTCAACAGATGTCTAGATAAATAGGTTCCAACTTTGTTGTTTATCTGGGTGCTGGAAATTTCTGGGGGAAGGAATCCCTAGGTGCTTCTGGACAGCAGCTACCGGGAAGCAGTTAAGCTCATTTGCATAGTTAATTAAACACAGGTTTACTGCTCAGAATATCCTTCATCAATAGGATTAGTCTTGGGGGGGCAGGTGTCAGGTGAGGGATTGTCAACCTAGAACAGGAAAGCTTTCTTCCTTTTGCCACTGCATCCCGAAGAGGGTGCTCCTTCACTCCCTCTAATTTTGCAAGGTCACGGGGCACACACTTGTCCACCCATTCCCAGCTACCCTGATCTAAAGTCTAGCCTTGATCCTTTACAAAAATGTGACAAAAATGTGACCTGTCCTTGAATTTAGACCACCAACAAAAGCAGAACTGGGCCTGCATATTCTTTGCATTAATTCTAAACAGCCTCAAGTCCCACTCTATGCCCCCACAGGGAGCATAGTGTTTGGTTAAGAGCACAGACTCTACAGCCAGATTTCCTGTGTCTCAGTCCCTTCTCTGCCACTGACTAGTTGTGTGACATTGGTTGGGCAAGTTGTTGAATCTCTCTGTGCCTCAGCTTCCTCATCTATAACATGAGTGGGCAAAGGATACCTACTTCATAGAACTGTGCAGAGCCCTGAAAGTCAGCTAGGTCTTTGGCTTTTACAGCACTAGGAATTGCTTGTGTCTTTTCTAGTTTTTGCTCTGAGACCAGGGTTATGCCAAGAAGAGGGACGAAGGATGACGAGTTTCTTTAGAAGGAGAGAGAGCCAAACCACCACCGGTCATTTCCTCGTTGGACATCCCAGAAAGTGACCTCTAAAACTACTCACCCAATTATCCAAGTGGCCTCCAAGGAACCAGACATCTTTGGGGGGAGAAAAGAAAGCCAAAGATTGTCCTCTAACTCCATGAACTGGAGGCCGTGAGCTGAGGAGGCGCAACGAGAGGTCCCACGGATCCCTATTCTCGGCTGTTACCTGGAAAGGATCATTTCATCTCCACTGAAGAGAACAGAAATGGATCCTTGATGGTACGCTGCTCGGCAGCTCCGAGCGCCCGGCGGGAGAGGGCCCGCCGCTGCCCTGGGGCGGCCCTGAGGCTCCGAGACTGTCCGTGTGCCTTGACTAAAGAGAGCACAGAGCCTGGGAGCGGTGCGGCCGCTGGAGACAGACCAACCTGGCTCGCAGCGGCTGCAGAGACCGCCAGGCGGACTACGCGCGTGCTCGGGCACCAGCAAAGCATATGCACCAACATTTTTCCCCTGGAAAGAAATTGGTACCTCAAAAGACGCTGACAAACACATCACAGGAAATCTGAACTTTGTTGGCCTTTTTTCCCTTCTCATCTTACTCATTAGGACTGCTTTTTGCAATTGAATTACCTGGGGGCAGAACCTGGGTCTTTTCAGGGTCTGTGCCTCTAAAGGTCTTATTAGGTCTTGTTTCAGCCACTTTGTAAGTGATCGTGCCCAGGTGGCTTTACCTCTCAGTGTCTCCTGTGAAATGGTGGCAGTAATACCCACAAGGTAGGGCTGTCAGGAATATTAAAATGAGATACCGGTGAAGGCCCTGGCCCATGGATGTTCAGTAAGGAGTGTGCATTATTATTACTTTATTTTTTTAAGATTCAGAGGCAGCATGAGGAGTCAGTCTTGTTCCAAGTTCCTGGTATAGTACAACTTATGTTTATGGTAGCACTAAGGTCCTGTTATGTTTTGGACATGAAACGGATCAACTTTGGCAAGGCCATTTTCTTAAGTGTAAGGTACAGTAGAACTCAGGATAATGCAGAGGGAAGCAGAAGCAAGATTTGAAAGGTTGAAGACTGGGGCCCGAGAGCCAGATGTGAAAAGCACAGCATAAGCGATGAATCTGACTGCCCACACTTTTACTCCATCTCCAGGGACTACAGTTTCCTTTGTGTCAAACAAAAAGTAGAACCTGTATGTGTAAAGTGTTTGCATCAACGTGCAAACTGTGCACCTGGTAAACTCAGGGACAAAAATATGGAACGCTTCACGAATTTGCGTGTCATCCTTGCGCAGGGGCCATGCTAATCTTCTCTGTATCGTTCCAATTTTAGTATATGTGCTGCCGAAGCGAGCACAGTAATACTTGCTTCTCGCGACGTTTATAAAGCTAAGAATATAAAAACTTTTACGATTATGGTGATTACACTGTGGCCCTTTTTAAAAAAAATTTCACAGTATACAAGACGTTTTGACCTTTTGTATCACA